CAAAGACAATTTTCCGCCCGCCAGTTGTTTCAGGATGCATCGCTATTCGATTGGTCTTCTACCTTTCCTGTGGTATTGTCAAGTTGCTCCATGTGTACATCACTCTTGGCGCGATCTTCAGCTTTCTTAGCCTGCGCTGTGGCTTTCATGGGCCATTGGCTAAAACGATACAGGGTCGATATTACTGTACAGCAAGGACTGGCTCTCGCTCCTCTCGCTTGTCTGTTCTCGGACGTTTGTGTAGTGGTGGTACTATACTCGGTGAATGATTGGTGTGCGCCGTGCTCGGTATATTGTTGGCGTGTGGCATACTATGTTTCATACGCTTTCTGAACAATTGGTCCACCTGTACCTTCGCTGCAGCTCGTATACGTGCTTCGGCGAGGTTATAGAATACAATCTGTTCACGTATGATAAGTTACCATCACTTCCATCAGGCTTCTTATCCGTTTTGAAGATATCTGTCTTCTTTTGCTACCCGTAGTAAGTGAGTGTTTTGAGAGGTTGCACATATATTGTCTCTTTATGTTCCTGTATCTTTCAGTGTTTTGTTCTCCACGTAGTTGATGAGCTTCTTTAGTAAATAGCTTCCAAGATGGAGTCTTGGTCTGTCAACAAGGGTACTATTGAACTTCTGTGGATCGGTGATATACCATGTGATATGCTTCTGCGAGTCACGTATATCATTGAATACCTCCTTAGTCTTCTCTCTTGCGTCTGCATTATCTAGTAGTACTTTTACAAGTGATGTTTATTGACATAGAGGCATGGACTTGACTAGGATTTTATCTCTGCCTTGTGTTTTAACTTTATATATTCACAATTTTCCATTTTGAGGAAAATATCTTCGTTAACTTCAGCAATTTGGAGACTTTGATTAGTTTACTTAGAGCCGGTTCCTTATTCTTATCACGCTCGGGTGATTTTGATTTCTAGCTCGCTTATGAACTGACTGATCATAATTAGCTCAGCTTCTGCGTTGCTTCCACATGTTTCAGTATCTTTTTTTATATCTCCTCCTGAGGCATGTGACACTCAGGTTGTTGTTCATGAATGCCTGCTTGCGTCTTGTGTAGCTATAGAATATTCACTGGCTCTGTGGATTCCAATTTGGATATGAATATGCTAACCATGGAGTGGTTTCCATTGTGACACATTTTCTTGTCAATCTCAAGTCTCATTGCTGATGGGTTTATTGATATACCATCAGGTGTTGGTCGACTCAAAGCTGCTACCTGGTGTCTAGACCTGCTGACAAGTAGGTTGACTGGTGTCGTGGCTGATATCCGTATTCTTCATGCTGGTGGTCTCACCCTCCTCACTGTACACTCCTGCTCTGGTCACTGCTGGCATTTTGTAGCATATGTATGTGAGTCCAATTTATCTACAAATAAGTGTTTAAGCTCCCCTTGTCTTTTATAAATACAGGCGACGAAATGTTGTCAAAAAATGCGAACGATAAAAATTACCGACTCTTTTACTTTCTTCGCAAATCACGAGATCAAAGATTACAATCAATAGGAACACCTATATAGTATTCGTACACTCAGGAGCACGTCACTCATGCATAGTCAGAAGTCTAGTAACTGAACTATGTATGTCAGTCATAGAACAACCTGGCTACAGACAACTATAACAATCAAATGCGAGAGTCCAAGACAATTATCAATGAGGCACAAGCCAGTATCATAAAGCAATATACACAACTGGTCACAAATATGACAACATGTACCAAGATATATCGATGATTGTGTACCGTATCTTGCGAACAAAATTCACAAAAAGAGCTTACATATCCTACAATCAATATCGACCGCATTCCCAGAGGACAAAATACAAGTGGACATCATAGTTCCACTATTTAACTCATATAGTGGCAACACGTATGCATTAGCGTGGTAGACATACGCTCGACTTACATCTTACTCCGATCAATGATGGGCAAAGCAGCAGTTACTGTAGCAGAAACGCTTGTGCCTATAATGTGCGAACGTACATTTCCACAGGGTATGCAAACTAACCAGGAGATCGAACACATTATTGATAATATTGCACAGGCGCCAACGCAACACCTAGTCTCTAGGCCGTATCATCCTAAAGTCTTAAATGTGAACGACCGATCACACAGAGACCTCATGCCACTGCTGCATAAGATCGTTGAACAAACCCCCAGGAAACTGGTGCACCCGACTTTCATTCATGCAAATGAGGCAAATAACCTCAGATCCTCCTGCAGACAAAAATCACCAAGATCAAGTTTCTACTTCGAACGCGTACAGGATCAACTTGCGAGATACAATACGGAAGTCGTGGTGCCAACCACAAGAATACTCGCTGGAAAACCTGGAAGAGGCAATTCGACCTTAACTGGACATCAACATACCAACAATGCATGCAGCAATTAAACGCAAGTTTCAAAGACAACATGTGAATTTTAATACCGGTGCATAGTGATGATCCGTTACCAAGGAGAAATGAACAAAATGATAGCGCCATGTGGAGGACTATATCAAATTGTCAGCAAAGAAGGCAACTCAAGGCCCCGGAATATCTTAATTCAGTGAGCGATGTGCCAATAAGATTGCTCAAAGTAGCCTCAGCAGGGATAAACTTTCCTCCCAAAAAAAATAGCACATGGAGAAGAGGTACATTTCACCTCCATACTGAATTACCGCCTATCCAAAGAAGGAAACAGATTTCAAGAGTACCTTCTGCAATGTGCAAATGACAGCGGATGATGATGTTCTTATGAATTACCAACAACGACTTCCACGCTAGCGCAGATAGACACGACCGAAGAAAGCGATGACGCCATCTACGGACGCGAACGCATCGAGAAACAGGAAGCGCACTAGTTGGAGACATAACCAGTTTCATAACAAGAAGAGTCACTTTGCAAAGAATATCTTAGTTCGTACCATACTCTGCCCACTACAACTCGGTTGAGTAACAACGTTGAGAAACGCTTTCTAAGGCCAGAATTGCAATAACTGAGAGCAATGGTCACGAGTAGAGGACACGAAGTCAGGGAAGTAAGAAGAGCAATCAGGACCGATAGATGGAGTACACGACGAGGTACCGAGACTACGCTAACCCCAGGTCGGAGCCGGAGTAGCTGACGGGAAGGTTGAAGGGATGTTCCGACAAGCGGGGCATACCTCAACGAGGTATTTATTCAAAGGGGAGTAAGACATCAGTTAGTGATTAATGTGTCTCGACTTTATATTCAACTAAGGTCTGTGAATGAAATAAAGTAATGAAAAGGGAGCCCACTGGTTCCTCGAGTATCATCGTCGAGACGTCATGTATTTGAGGGAAGGACTCTAGTAAGAATTGTATATTTATATTCAATTCTTTTCGAGTTCGTTCGCATACATTTCAAGATCCGTTGAAACATACTTCCTCGACGATGTCCAACCCCCGCCAAAGTCGTAGACAGCAACACCTGAACCCTGAACGTCGCAAAGATGATATTGACCGACGTGGGACTAAGCGTCGTCAATCCAATCCGGACCGCATTGGTTCACACACAGGACAGATTCTGGATGGGCAACAACAGATGCGTCTAGAGGCTCACCACCCAGTGTCCGCTAACGACAAGCAGTCACCAACGGCACACAGAGATGAACCTGCCCACTCAGGCGATGACGTCGTCTTCGAGGGTGAGACCAAGGCAGTTCCCGACATGCGTGCGGACCGGAGTCAGACCATTACTGGTGAATATGTAGCTAGTAATGGCCTGTCCTCCCGTCTGTCCTCGGGTACTTCAGGGGCCTTATCCTCCAGTAATGACCAACAACGCCTCCCACCTAACAAGCGTAGACGCCACCGCCGTCGCACCAACAACAAGGACACGGTACGGGACCAATCTTCCGCTCAGAAACTCACCGAGCTAATGGCCCAACAGCAGTCACTTTTAAAGAAGTATGAACAAAGGTTGCAGCGCAAAACTGCCGATCGGCCTACAACATTGCTGACTGCCACTGAGACATCTACTGGCACACCCGAACGGGTGCAATACGTTGCTAAAAAAATGAGGATAACTCTACGTTCCGTATCCAAGGCCGTACACGTCCGCACCATGGACTCGGGTATGAATCACCTGGGATAGAGGTCCGGTCGACCGAGGGGGGGGAGACTTTGTCCTCTATTGAGGACACCCCATCTTTCCAAGAGTTTGCACGTGAACAGATATTAGCCAAGCGGAACCCTCACGGGAGTGAGGCGCCGAAGAACATGCAAGGTCGGTTAAATACAAACTTTCGCCAACAACAGCAACGACAGTCGTTCGAGAAGGAAGCAGCCAGTGAATATGTACAGACACCCAAGCGGCAGGGGATGGAGATACCTAGCCGACAAGCGTTGCATGCACGTATACTACACCTGAGCGACGAGCTATGCCAAGCAATAGAGGACAATAATACGGCTCGAGCTGAAGCTCTTCGGGGGCGATTGAGACGTTCACGCTAGAATCCCGCCCCGTGGAAAAGCGGCCCATCCCGTCACCACGTATATGGCCCGATTGGCCTTCGAATAGATACCATCTACACGACATCACGGAACGGGATACGAGAGAGGCTCTCCTTGAGGCGTTTAAGAACGCACAAATCGCAGGGTTAGATGAGAGTTGGAGCCTTACATGGTTCATAAAGTACTATCTTATTTCAAGGCTGAGAAAACAACATTGGATTACATCCGCGATAACTCTGAGCGATTGAAGATGTGGACTCCACAACTACAAATCGAACAGGTCTGCTCGCATGAGACGCATGCCACTGTCTATCCCGCGTTTCATAAGCTAGCCAAGGGCCACAGTCGGAACATGCATACCCCTATCATGGAACAAATGACACAGCTCATGGAGAACCATCGGAGGGCACGGGAACGGTGCCAAACAGATGCAGATTTAAACAGAACTTATTAAATCACTGTATTGTACAATTTTTAGAGGAAGCTCTCACTGGGAGAACGTATGAACGTACCCTGCAATTACATCCGAAATGGCAACTGATGAAGACGCGCGAGCTTCTGCAGCTATTAAGCCCCGACATTCAGGACGCACAGTAGCGCACCACGGCGCGTCTCCAGAACCGGAATAATCGGGAGGGTCCATCGAGTAACGGGACTCGTGACTTCACCAATAGCCGCCCTAACCCGCAGACGGTTCGACGACAGTCGCAGAACTGGACACAGCGACCCCAACCGTCACCACCTACGACTTGTGCGGGATGTCAGGCACAAGCACCACCAGGTTCACGTCATATTCCACGATGTCATCATTTCCGTGCGTCGCCACCAGGGGGTTCGGATGGTCGGGCGTGGCCGTACGACAACAACCGCACATCAAGAGACGCACAACTGGCATACAGACCGACCGCAGCTCCAACCTCAAGACAGGGGCAGAACAACACCATGAGTAGAGACTTGGTAACTACGAATCCGACTCCTCAAGTACAGGTGAATGCGATTACACAGGACGACGGCTTTGTACCATCATTAGAAGCTACAGAGGTACACATTAACACGATACTCACGGAAGACTTCGAGCACACGGCACCGGAACCAGACCATGACCACGGGGTATGGGAGTCCGTAACCGAACGAGCATGAGATGTGAAGGTATCTGAGTTTTATATGAGCTTCACATTTGTTAACACTATTAGGGCAGTGATGGCGATACAGGACCCATTGCTTTCTTCTGATAACCGAGTTTATATTCAAGTGCAAGTTAACGGACGCACGTTCAAAGCATTGATAGACACGGGAGCACATCTATTTAGCTGACAATGCGGTTCGAACTCCTCGACTGGAGACGACAGAAGTGGTACCCATTCGGTATGGCACCAAGATTATCGACGGGTAACTTGAGTTGATGAATTTACCTGCAGGTATAGACATCATAGTGGAGCAAGATATGTTGAAAGGCTTGAGATTATACATAGGCGGTATCCAATCGCCACTCGCACCGATAGACCTCACAGAACTGGATGAGCTCTTCGAACCCATCCCACGCCGACAGGCTCCAAACACGACGGAACCCGCCGACGCACGCCAACGTCTGGCACAGGATTTAGAGGCGAACGCGATGATTGCTGACATCGCGCTATGTCGTCTGGAAGGGAGTGAAGTTACCATTCCGGTAACCCGTGAACAGGCGATGCACATGCGCAGATCGACACGTAACTTTGTATCTGACCGATGGCTACCCTACGTGGACGAACATGTAGAGAAGTGGTTGGCGGATTTGGTGATATCGAAACGGACGACACCGACAACCGTCAACCCCCTCTCCTTGCGGTGCCGACGTTCGATGCGGAAGGAAAAGTGAAGAAGGTGAGGGTGTGTTTAGACATGCGCGCCGTTAACGCGCTTATCCCTGGTGACCAGTTTTTGATTCTAAAGGTCAACGAACTTATCTTTCGCCTCAAGAGTAAGAAGTACTACACTACGGTGGACATCTCTGTGGCATACCACAGGCTGCCGATCCACCCAGATTCACAATACTTATTTAGTTTTACACACGACCGTTATCAGTACTCGTTTACATCGGCACCGTTCGGACTCCATGTGCTCACGCAACCGTACCTTGAGCACGATACTTGACGGCTTACCGGTCCACCACTATATCGACGACATAGTTATCGCTAGCGACGATTATGACGAACATATTAAGACGGTGCAGCAGGTGATCCAACGCTTGACATACCACATTTATAAGCTTAACCCCGCCAAGTGCCACTTCACTATTCCCGAAGTGATGACCCTAGGGAAGAAGGTGTCTGCACAAGGCATAGACATTGATCATGAGAAGCAGACCAAGCTTATCGACTGACCTACCCCACTACGGTACAAGGATATAGCCTCTGCTTTAGGTTTGGCGAATTACCTTCATGAGCATCTCCCCAATTTCGCGAACACGGTCGCACCTTTGCGCGCATTTTGCAAACTCAAACCGAATGAGTTGATCGGCGATCGTTGCGAGGAGAGACATGCACAGGCGTGGCAGGCGATGAAAGATGCAGTTGTTAATGCAGTAGCGTTGTACTTACCGGTCGACGGTATACCATTGAATTTGAAAACCGACACTAGCACTTACGGTTTGGGGGGAGCGTTATTCCAATGGGTCAACGGGAAGAAACACTATTTAATGTTCTTTAGCAAGACTCTGAACCATGCGCAACAGAACTACGATACACCAATGAAGGAGTTACTAGCTTTGGTGTATGGGCTTACACTTTTTAGGGAGCATTTGGATGGGCAACGGTTTGCAGTCTTCACGGACCACAAGGCCCTTGTGTATATGAATACACAGCTCAAGCGTAATCCGATGCTCCAGAGATGGCACATATTATCGCACCATTCAACTTTACCATATCACATAAGCCAGGAGAGACGAACGTGCTTCCGGACATGTTGAACAGATTACACGAGGGGACAGCGGAGCAAGACGAACTTGAAATACTGTACACAGATGGTTGGCAGTTATTCCCTAGATAATTTGAACAAGCACAACAACACTTCGGCCCGAATAATATAGACATATTTGCGGACCCAACTAACGCTCAGCTCCCTCGATTTTGGACAAAAGACAATGGGGAGGGTGCGTTTGCCTACGACTGATCAACGGTCGATGGATGGATGAACCCACCATAGGAGAACACACACAAAATGTTGCGCAAGATAAGGACTAATGGGGCAAGGGCAACTGTATGTCTACAATGGGTACCAAGGGCACCATGGTTTGACTTGTTCAAGCTGTCGTTGCAGTCAGAGCCAGTGCTGGTTCCACGAACGCCACATACGTTCCTCAAGTATGCTAAGTACGCCTGTGGTAAGACACCATGGGGACACACAGTGATTGCACGGGTGGGGCCTGCTAACGGGTTCAAACTGGACCCGCTGTTTTCACATCGACTTGGGTATGCAAAACCAAAACACACGGCGTACGTGATATGTTTAGATACGGCACAAGAGATCTCGGTGGCAATGGCAGACGCAGAGGGTCAAACGGCGTTTGAGCGAGCGACACCAGAAGAACAACAGCGCCGTACGCGACTCACGCAAACTCAACACGAACAAGGACATCATGGAGCGGCCGACAAAGTTCAACAACTCCGACATAACGGCCATGTGTGGCCGGGCGCACTCGAATTGGCAACGGAAGTCAAACGGCAGTGCGCTACATGTTTGGGACAGGATACGCTACGTATGGGCTTTCACCCGATGATTAGCATTGACGCGCGCTACCCGTGGGACCATATTCAAGTTGATTACATCCCAATGCCACTTGAGTCCAGAAGAAAGAACAATTATATACTTGACGTCCTGGACATCGCTACAGGTTACTCAATCCTTCGAGCGGCACCGGACAAGACGAAGGAGACAGCGGTGCAGACACTAATATAAGTTTTTGGGGAGCATGGTTTCCCACGTATGATCCAGACGGACATGGGGACTGAATCCACCAACAAGATAGTGGAGCTCCTGGTCCAAGAAGTGCGGATGCTACACAAGGTGTCGCCGCCATATCGACCCCAAGTACTGGGTGCTGCTGAACGACGTCATAAGGAAATTACACGTTCCATTAGACAATGCTGTGAGGCAGTTCCTCAACGATGAGACGAACGTCTTCCGTTTACAATGTTATATCAGGACCTTCGGATATCCCGACGGCATAAGAGCGCGCCGTTCAGTGTATATTTTGGCCGCCGTCACGTACCGTTTGCCGATTTTACTGATGAGTTACCGGATACCCAGCCGATGACGAACGACACCTGGGCCCGACCGTTATATCAGTTGCAGGATACCATCCTGCCGACACTCCACCACATTACCAAGAAGTATAAGGGCAAACTCACGAAGGCATTTGATCGCCTGCACGCTCATGACTTGGTACATTTCGACGAAGGTGATGTGGTAATGGTACGATCGGAGGGCAGAACGACTAAAGCAATGCGGCCGCTGTTTGGGCCGTATGTGGTTAAGGCTAGGGTCAGACAGCGCTATAAGTTGGCGAATAAAGACGGCTCTGCCCCTCCAGAATTCAATGGCAAACCGGTACGGGTGGAACTCCTCCAGTTAGTGCATCGGCGCACAGACCCACCACTTAACGATGAATTGTGGACAGAGGGAGATGTTGAGTTTCGCTACATTATTACACACCGTACTAATGATGATACAGGGAAATTGGAATACTTGGTTAGATGGCGCGAAGGCGACCCCACGTGGGAAACAGCGGAGACCTTTGATGATGCCAACGATATCATGGCCTACCACAAGGCCTCGCAGACACGTATACGTAAACGCCAACGTGCCCAGATCCAATCTTTATAGTAAGATATGACTACTCGGTAGGACGGTGCGCTCGAACCGTGATTTTCGAGCCCTCTAGTTCTCAGAGGTTAAATGCCAGCACACTGTTCTAGCTCCCAGAGGATAACTGCCAGCACACTGCTCTAGCTCTCAGAGGATAAATGCCAGCAACTAAGGTACTTTGGGTAATCCTTATCATCTCTAAAACTGGCACACTTCTATTCGGTCAGTACTTCAGTTTGGGGGGATTGTGGTCGGAATACACGAACTTAGGTTTATTTTAGTTTTATCACAGTTTTTACAGTTTACCAGAATAATCTGATTAACTTAGTTTTGCTTACTATTACAGCACATGACTCATGACTCATATTTAGAGTCACGAGTTTTACAATTACTTATAAATGAACAACGTCTCCCTCTCTCAGGGGGGAGTGCGTTGAAATACAGTTATCTAGCGTACATTTACTACAATACGATGACGCCATCTACGGACGCAAAAGCATCGAGAAACAGGAAGTGCACTAGTTGGAGACATAACCAGTTTCATTAACAAGAAGAATCACTTTGCAAAGAATATCTTAGTTCGTAGCATACTCTGCCCACTACAACTCGGTTGAGTAACAACGTTGAGAAACGCTTTCTAAAGCCAGAATTGCAATAACTGAGAGCAATAGTTATGACTGACTCCGTTGAACGTAGCAGAGGATTGATCCGATAGTTAATACGATGCATAGGTAATGGTGACATGTTTTTAGTCTACGGTATGAGTTTCCCCCTTGTATAAATTACCAACGTGCAAATGTCACTTTCCACCATCTCACAGTTAATACGATACATAGGTAATGGGACATGTTTTTAGTCTACGGTATGAGTTTCCCCCTTGTATAAAATACCAACGTGCAAATGTCACTTTCCACCATCTCACAGGGAGGCTGTGGCATTATAGGGGGCTGTAGAATCATAGTAGTAGAAAATCCGAAAGCCAAACTCCAAATCCCAATTTTACAGGATTCTCAGTACACAAGTATTGGGCCTTGACCCAAATACTACATTCCTGATATTAGAATCATCAAGAGTCAGGCGGGAAACCGGTACCTACACACAATGATTGTACTGGTATTGTATGTTTTTACAAACAGTCGTGTAAGATTCAACCGAAGATCAAATGACCAATATACCGGGTCTTGTCACAAAGACAAAAGGATGTGCCGCAAGACGAGCGTGTCATTCTTGATGTACGGGGTGATGAGCGCTGGTGGATCCGGACACATAAATTTCATGTACATCATCAAGTGTGT